TTTAAGAAGATATATCATATAAAACAGTATCAACTGCGAACATAAAAAAATTTAAATTTTCAGGAGAAAAAAAATAAAATTGAACCAATTTTATGAAATTTTAAAAACAGTTGAAAAATATGTAATACTTCTGTGCATTCCAAACAATCATTTCTATCTAAATGATATGATTTTACAATGAAAAACCTACCAGCACAACACATGATGTTAATTTACAACCGAAATATACATTAAAACTACGGTGTAGTCATCTAAGGAAAAGCTGGGTTATTTATATACTGCCAAACTACTGGTCATATAACAAATGTAATAAATATAAATCACAGATGAAATAACTTAAAAAATAAATTAACAACTTGTAAACCATTATATTTTACACTGCAATACCCTTTATAACTGTAAATATACTGGTCATAATGTATTACTGCTGCTACAAAGGGACAGAAAATAATCACAAAAATACTCCCTGAATACTATTTCAACAAGAATCCAAAATATCCTGCAATAGTGGCATTGTGAGACATACTTGGGCAGCGAAAATCAGTTAATTCACTTCGTAGTACTAGAATTGAGAAAGGAAACAGGGAATGTGTCAAAGGGCCAACTACCTGACCAAAGAGCAGAATACAGCGCAAGGCCAAATTTGCTTGAAACTAAGAAGTCATTATCATTAATACTTTACAATGAAGATTAGAAGACACTGATCCAAATATTGTGAAAGAAGTTGTTATCTCATACTTTTATGGTGAGGGTATAATATTCCTATATAATGTGTTATTTTTCACACATAGATGACCCTAGGCACATATTCAACAATAATACTTCCCTTTATACTATCATTCATCTATATGGAATAGCTGATAAGGAATAACTTATTTCAAGTTTTGCAATAGTCTACTGGAGCAGGATATTCCGATTTGCTGCTATGGCTTTTCCAAATAATGTACAACAGGGGTCAGAGGGCACTTTTTATTTCATCTAACCATTTATAAAGAAAAAGTTCTTGGTTAATTTCATATGGCTAATCTTTATAAACAGCCATTTTCCATCACAATTCAAATACTTTTTAAAATGCCTTCCTACCCTATTACACATTTGGCTTTTGGAAAAATACCCCAACAGAAATAAACGTCTATATATTCTAAGGCTCTTTCAATAGACTTTACTTTAAGTTATAAGCAATCTCACAAATATTAACTTTAATTACATTTTTTTATCAGGGTGACAGATCTGCATAAATAGGTAAAACATAAAATTTGTTTCCAAAAATCTACAAGCAAAATTGTCGTAAACATGTAAAAGCAAATTTAAAAAAAACAAATTTTCCTTAAAATGCTACTAGTATTAGGTATTAGGTATCTGAAATAAATAACTTATCTACACACTGACCAGTACATTTTCTGCATAGCTATTTTAATAGGACCTATCTTGAGATTCAAACGAAAAAGCAATGTCATTGTAATATCATTATACCATTCACACGTAAAACAAATATACACATGTACTCTCTTAACTGGTACCAAGGGATGTCAAAGGGAATGTTCAGAAAATCATTTACATACATTGATATTGTGACCAACTTAAATCAAGCAAATTCAAGATAGGCCCCCAAATTCATTGTCATTGTTGATGAAAATACAAAATCTGCACAACAATGTAGGGATAATTCATCACTGCAGAAAAATGAGATCATAATGAATTGTAAAAATGATTGCACATAGTACTGAGCCATTTTCACTTGAACTGTTTTAACAAGTGTGTAATAATAAAAGAATTAAAAAAAGAGTATTACTTTTTAATCATTTTCTCCCATTTTTAAAACCTACATAATATATCAGACATAGTATTTAGACTGACAAGTTTATAAATCTTTTCTTATGCTTATAAACTAGTAAAAACTTTAGCTGCAAATATTTGTTTATGTAGAGGTAGCTTCAATGCATTTGATTTTTTTAGTTCATTTAATGTAAAATGCTCCAAAATATGAAATAAATAAATTGAAATAATAAAACTTTTCCCATACAAAATAGAAACAAATGTCATAACATCATTATTCTTAAAAGATTGAGGAAAATCTTCTAATTCCGCACACTTGTACAGGTATCCTTTTGATTTAAACAATATTAAAAATGGATCCATGATTTTGTCTTGTGTTTATTCTAATGAGAATGAAAATATGTGTCAATGTTGATTAAACTTGGGCATGATTAAATTTATAGTCTTAAATGAAAATAAAGTCCAATTAATGTACAGAAAGAAGTCCATTTATTTTTAAGTATGGACTTATATTGTTTTTTTTAAAATATCAACAACTGGGTACTTTTCACATAGATGAAGTTTTTTTTCTTTCTTGAAGCCTGAAACGACATAAAGTCCACAAAGTTAACAAATAAACTACTTCTGAAATATGCAATCTGCTTTCAATGATAAATAGCAAATATGGATTCGTGGAAAGAAAAATATGAGAAATACTCTCTTAAGCCTTACTATTTGATAATCTTTTCTTCTATCCTTCTACCCCCAAACTGCCAATATACAACCTTTATTTTCAAGAACTGGCTGTATATTCTCACCATATTTAATGCCTGATAAAACTCATATAGATTGGAATATAGATTCATCCATATTCCACAAAAATTACCTTTATAAAAACCCACTGATGGTTTCTGTTTAAGCAATAGACCAGTTTAGTAATTCCATTTCTCATTAATTATGCTGTCCAGCTTAAGCATCCTATAAAATGACATCTGCACCAATCAGAATGTCCAACAAAATGAAGTTTTTTAAAATTCCATTTCTTTCAAAAAAAGAAAGACAACTTGGCGAGTTTAAAAAAATAAGGTAGATGGTCATGAAGCTAAGCATTTTTTTGCCATGCTCTATTAAAACATGAAATACTTTAAACAAGAATTTTCGAAAGCATATGTTCCTCACTGAGTATTACTAAAAATCTGTCGCAAAATACACAAGTTTCAGACATTTGTGCATATAAATGAAATAAATGCTCACAAATGATGCATAAAAAGAAGGGAATTCGCCTAACATAGTGATGGTATGAATATTTTAAGGTATAAAAAATGCTGAATAGTAACAAGGTAAGAAATAAACAAATTGCAACTGAATAAAACATAAATTAAAGTCTACATCTGTCGGAGCATTGTACATAAATAAAAATCACTTTAGGTCAAAGAGTATACCGAATACACAAGAAGTTACCTTTCCTTAATACGACAGTAAGTACACTTAAAAAAGAGACATATATTTTTACATCCCATGACCATAATGAAGTACAACCATTAAATAAGTAAAAAAAATAAAATAAAGACTTTACTTCAAAGAGAAAAGGTCTTGTTTATTGCATAGTCTACATTTTGGATAATGCAATTTTCATAATGTCACAATAAACTTACAATTTACATTGCAATAAAAATGACAGTTCTAATTTAAAACCCTATAGCTTTGAAACCAGCCAAGTAAAAATATATTGTCAGTCTTATAAAGCTTTGAGGTTAAAAAGCAAACAACCTACTTTCTGGGAGAAAAAAAATGTATATACTCAATTTGGGTTCAAAAAGTATGTCCATTATCCTATATGTTGACAAACATTATACATTTGATAGACCAAATGCCTATATCATCAATATTTCTGGAGATAAGATAAAAAAACGCCTGGTTTTTTACACATGTAATACAGAACAATACTGCATGTTGAATTTGAATATAATACATTGCTGTACATCTTGAAATTTGTAATTTATTGACACATTATGTGTGTTCCATACCAAATCTCTATGAACTAACATGAACTAAACCAAAAAACGGCTGAGAACAATATTTTATCTCATATATAAATATAACAACCATGGATTTCTCAGACAACTACAAATTTTCATCAATATACATTCAATTTCTTCAAAAAATGCTAAAACTATCTTGGATTTCTAATATGAGGGACAATAAATAGTTCATAGACAGTTACTTTCATTCTTTTCTTGCATAATAATTAACATTTTAACATAAATTATTAACATTTACATAACTAACATTTAACTTCGACAAACTTTTTTGTTCTAATATGATTTTAAGGAGATTCTCCACATCTCATTTGACAATTTTGTTAAATGTTGTTAATTCATTTAGAGATTCTTCATAATTATATGAGACAATGGTTTATCTTATAAACTGGGTAAAAAACATTTGTTGACCTATTTTATGCAAAAAATTATAGGCATTTAGTTTCTGCTACCTTTTCTAGTTGCAGAGAAATATAAACAACCAACCAATTAATTGCCTTTAAAAAAACTCTGTGGATTTATAAATATTTGTAGGGTACAAATTTTCATGGATATCTTTAGTTGAATTATAGTTATCTCGTACCATTGCAAACTCGTACCAATGTCAACTCGTACCACTAAAAGCAAACTCGTACCACTGCAAACTCGTATCACTGCTAACTAGTACCACGGTAAATTCGTACCATTGCAAACTCGTACCAACTTATTTAAATGCATTCAAATGGTGTTATATGACGAATAAATATTTAAATTTCACTAATGACCAATTAGTAGCTGATTGTTCCTTGTCTAATTGGATGAAGGAAACTGGCAGATTGGCTTTGTTGTCTCCCTTGAACAGTTCCATTATTTAACTTTTACTGATAAATATTTCATTTAATGTTTTATCATTACAAAGTAGTTAAATTGAATAGATTTTGGCATTTATAGCTGTGAAAAGGTTTTTGTGTAGTAATAAAGAAATTATAAAAAAAATTATAAAGATGTGCAAAAACAATTCAGAAAACATTCGTATATTGTATATTTATTCAATCTATAATTCAATAAAATTCAGAAAAATTAATTAATATTTTATAAAGATTTGCAAAAACATTGCATATATATTGTATATTTTTAATGGTACGAGTTTGCAGTGGTACAAGTTCGCTATGGTACGACTTCGCAGTGGTACTAGTTTACATTGGTACGAGTTGACTTTAGTGGTACGAGTTGACATGGTACGAGTTTGCAATGGTACGAGTTGACTTGCTTCCTCTTTAGTTAGTGAAAACCCTTAACTGAAATACTAGATGCAAATACAATTTTATAAATATGCAGTTTACATTTAAAAATGAACCTAAAGAAGATACATTGAATCAAAGTTCCTTAAATTTTCTATTACTTAAAAAGTTGCATTTTGAAAAGTGACCGCTCCTAATTTGACTTATTCCTAAAAAAAATCCTTGATATATATATATATATACCCCCAGTTAATCACTGAATCCATGTTGAGTAAATGGCAGTGATGTTAAAAAATTTTACATATTCACATGAACAAGAAATATATAAATCAAGAAAAAAAAAAGTGTTTTTTTAACAATATGTATAATCAAATTGTAGATTTAAATTAATACAATAAAAGAGATTCAACAACGATGAAACACAATGTTTTTGAGCCATTTCAGTGATGAACAATGTCGAGTTAAATCTGAATACTTCATGGTATTTACAAGTTGCATGATTTCTTAACTGGAATGGAGAAAGGATTCATACAGTTAAAAAGCAAAAATACTGCAAATTAAGGAACAAATTTATTATATTACTTCACTTGCCGACAATTAACACTGATTCTATTCTTGCAAATTGAGAAGAAAACAGATATATAAATACTCAAGACTAATCTTGGTTAGTGTTTAAACAGAATACAGTAAACGTGCCTTACCAGCAATGGCAAATCTCTGCTATATAAATTTTTAAAATGGGAAGAATAACCCTCTATGGCTACTAACGACACTTTGTCTAATTAGTCATGGATTTTACTCTCCTCAATTTTGACCTTTTTTTCACTCAAAACATTTATTACATCTTTTTGTAACTTTTATTATGTTAAGGTATTTAAAATCAATACTTGAAGCCATGTATAAATAAAGGAAAAAATGTATTAACATTTAGCAAAGAACACTTTTTTTAACGTAAATATTGAAGGAAAAAAAAATTAACATAAACATATGAGTCGGTTAAACATGAGTTGGTCATTTAAAACAATGAGACAAAAACAAACAAAACAACAAGCAAATCAACATAAATTACGTAGAGAACATGGAACTTTTTGTGTTATTTTTAAACAGATATTCTAAAAACAACAAATCTTCATGATTAGTTGAAAGACTGTCCTCTGGAACTAAACAGACGTAATAAATCAATAAAAAAAAATAATAAGTAAATAAATAAAGAGATAAAACCGATTTGCATTTTGACATTTAATTGATCTTAAATCTCCTCCTGAGGGGATACTATCCTTAGAAATCTATGTAACAGTATGATCTCATAGATGACAAAACAAGGTAGATAACCCATAAGGAAACAAAAAATACAGTTGTTATTATTTTAGTTTTCGGAGGTCCTCCCAACTCTCCTCCATAACGCCGTCTAACCAACATAACAATAACAACCACAGCTGCTTCTGCACAGAAAACTGTAACAGACAAGGCTAAGTCTCCTGGTGGTACTTCAAATGTATTCCCATTGGCAGCATGGTATATGGCAGCTATAGTCCAGGCAATACCAATACCCAAGAAAACATTTACAGCATTGCTTCCAGTCACATTTCCTATTGAGGAATCAGCATACTGGTCATTTATAGCTGCTACTTTACTGGCAAAGGTATCTGTAATAAAAAATAATATTGATTTCCAACAAGAAGAGATGTGCAAAGAATACCCAACTCACTTACAGTAGGTCTGAAAATTGGTTACAAAAAACAAAATCCATTCAAGAACCATAGTGTGACCTTTTTGATATTCATTGATAAATTTGAAATTCAAGGCTCTATCATAGCAAAAGTAAACCTTGTCCTTCAATAGGAACGACAAAAAAAACTTTGAGGAAGAAACTATCCTGCAAAATTTTTTTTTTTTTAACAACTCTATTCCCACACTTTTTTTTAATTATTAACATGGAATAGTAGCACCAAATCTATAAAAATATATTTTAAGATAACAAATTACTTTCATCAATTCATCATCCCATTTATTCAATAAAACAGCTGCGCCAAGAGCGCATGATATGCCCGTCGTCTTGTGTGTGAGGTTTTATGCAATAATCATAAATCGTTTCTGAGATACGGCGCGACATGTGAAAACCACCCTTTTTTTTTATAAAAAAATCAATAACTCTAAAATAAAATTTTGAATCATCACCAAAAAGCATACAGATCTTTATATTAATATAATTAGGAAGTGTGTAAAGTTTTAAGCAATAATCATAAATCGTTTTTGAGATACAGGGCAACATGTGAAACCCCCCCCCCCCCCCTTTTTTTTTTTACAAAAAACTCAATAACTCTAAAATAAAATTTTGAATCATCACCAAAAAGTATACAGATCTTTAGATTAATATAACTAAGAAGTGTGTAAAGTTTTAAGCAATAATCATAAATCGTTTTTGAGATACGGCGCGACATGTGAATAAAACGAACCCCCAGTTTTATTTACAAAGTCTGGTAACTCAAAAAAGTTTTAATCTTATTTTCACCAAAAAGTATACAGATCGTTTGACCATCATAAGAAACAACTATGTTAAGTTTCATGAATTAAATTTGAATAAGTTTTAATTGTATACCTGGAACACTGGTACCCAAAGCTACAAAGGATATAGCTGTTACTGAATCTTTCAGACCAATGGTACAACCAAATCCTGATGCCAAATCTCCAATAACAGCAGTCAGTAGTCCAACCATAATGATGGAGACACAGAAGCATGCCCAGCCTCCAAAGTAATCTGTAAATTTAAACATTATCATCATAATGAAGACTTGCTAAAAAAAATTTTTAAAAAGCACATATGTATAATTATACTTATAAATGGATTATTTTTTGGGATGAGGCATTTGTGAAAGTGTATAATTTCTTATTGTTCTATGTTTTTTTAGTGTATTGTTATTGTCTCTTCTTTTGGTGGTTTGTTGTTGATGGATCTACTTTATCAAACTTAATTGTAAATTGATAATCTGTAGAGAGTATGATCACTTTTGTACAATCAAGGTACTTTTTCATACACAAAGAAGATTATTAATATTAGTATCCATTTCTGCAAAATCAGTACATTATCTTGATAATAAAAGCTGTGAGTACTCTCAGATCTTTACTTGGTCTTTTTTGTTGCAGGATGTATAGATACGCTGCCACATGTGGTCTGTTTTCATTAGATTTTTTCTGCTTTGTTTCGATCTGATGAGTTAAGCCCTTATCAACTGATTTTTTGTTTGTTCTTATGTTGTACTGTTACACCACTAACCCAGGTAAGGGGGAGGGTTTGGTGCCAGAAACTAGTTAAATCCCGCCACATTCTATATGTGCCTGTAGCTCAGTGGTTGTCGTTGGTTCATGTCTGTCATATTTGTTTTTTGTAAATTGTTTTGTTATAAATTAGGCTGTTAGTTTTCTCAATTGAATTGTATCATATTTTTTATGTTGAGGCCTTTTATAGCCAACTATAGGGTATGTGTTTTTCTCATTGTTTAAGGCCATATGGTTGCCTATAATTGCTTACATTCACTTCATTTAAATTTGGTGGATAGTTGTTTCATTGGCAATTTATACCACATCTCCTTATTTTTATATATGGTGCGGATGAAAATAAAGCTCTCATCAAAACCTTAGAAGACTTCAAGAGTCTGGATGATTCTGAAATGATTGAAACTAAGAATTTAAACATATGACTAAAATAATACCCCAATGTTCCCCATTTCTAATGCATCTAATAATCAAATTTTTCAAAATTTCACACAGAGTTGAAATTCTTTTTTGAAAAGAGTTTATTTTTTTTTTTTAAATAATTACATTACATAGATGTTAAATAATGATTCCACCATTTTGATCTAATGACCTCAATTATTTGATGTTTTAAAGGGATGTTTTGTATCCTTGGCTGGAATAATAACAGTAATTCCTTATACAGTAAATCACTTACCTGTGGGTGGAATAAAAGCGAACATAACTTTCCAGAAGAGAGTAAGGAAGTGCATAACATAATCCATACATGATGGCAGTTTTTCTTCACTTTCTTCATCTTCTTCATCACCTACAAAAATATAAACCAATAGAATATCAGTCTTTCAACAGTCATATTCCGTATCTTTTTTAAAACTGAAAATCATCAAGGAATTAAAAACTGTTCATACAAACCAATTAGAATCCCACATATACCCTGTGGTAAAAGCACTGGATGCCTTCGGTTAAATTTGGAACATCATTCAAGCAATTTTACTTAAAGGGTGCTCAAAACTTTAGTTCAACTCTTTTTGAATTTTCTGTTATATATTTTAAAATCTTTTTAGTATTCCCTAAAAAAGGTAATGATTAGTTTCAAACTGTAAATAAAATTTGAGCACTAAACTTTACAAATTAAAGAACCTTAGTGAGCGCGCTCACATACCCCACATCCCCACATTGTCATTGGAGAAATAAAATAAGTGTAAGAAAAAAAAATTGTATCAGAAAAAAAAATTGAATCATAATTTCCTATCAATATGCACATCTACATAGTATGTCCTTATTATCTACACAGTTTCATGAAATTCTGTTGTGTGGTTTGAGAGGAGTTGCGATGACAAAAGGTTGCAGTAGTATATTGGGCAAATAAGTTCAAAGGGGCATAACTCCTGGAAAAAAAATTGAATCGTAATTTCCTGTCGATATGCACATCTACGTAGTATGTCCTTATTATCTGAAAAGTTTTCATGAAATTCTGTTGTGTGGTTTGAGAGGAGTTGCGATGACAAAAGGTTGCAGTAGTACATTAAAGTAAATAAGTTCAAAGGGGCGTAACTCCTAGAAAAAAAATTGAATCGTAATTTCCTGTCGATATGCACAACTACATAGTATGTCCTTATTATCTAAAATGGTTTCGTGAAATTTTGTTGTGTGGTTTGAGAGGAGTTGAGATGACAAGAAATAGGACTGACGGACTGACGGACGGACAGACGGACGGACGAACGGACGGGTCAAAAACATTATACCCTCCGCAACTCGTTGCGTGGGGTATAAAAATATCAAACAGTCAAGACAAGATAATTTTTGCAATCAATCTTTGAATATGTTTTAATAAGATTTGAAAAATTATCTCCCTTAGGTAAATTGCAGCCACATCATTACAATTGTTTCAACTGTGGCAATACTTACCGGTAATATATACATATGAACAATTAAAAAAGGATATGACAAACTTTAATATCTTTTAATTAAGTTATATAAGCAAACTCAAAACAAACCTTTTAGTTAAGGTATTTACCCAATCACCACTGAAAAAAGCATATTACTTAAGTTTGAATCAATAAGTTAAATGCAGAAGAAGCCTATTATATAACAGCATTAAATTTGTTTCTGAATAGCTCTTTATTTATTTATTTCTATTCCTTTTTAAGTAATATTCAACCATGACATTTTTTATTGAGAATGCAAACAACTATATCATAAATACTTTTCCATGTAAATGTACTGAAATTTAAGGTACAGAAAAAGAACATTTTTGGAACCATGTGTTTGTTCAGACAAATTGCAAGTGTGTGCTTTTTCCAGCATATTCCACTTCAAATAAACCTTTTCATTGGTTTTACTATAGTACTACATGGATTAGTGCACATTACCAGTATACCCCTTTTGTTTTCCATTATTCCGGCTTTAAACACTGCGTTGACTCACAAATAGCAAGCAAACAAAATTGTTAACTGATGCTTACCTTTATTTTCTAAGCAAAGTAAACATAAAATAAAGGATCGTTATTATTTATTTGAATGGTCTTCTTCCCTTTCTTTTTTTTTTACATAAACCAATGGCTGTTCACAGCAAACAGCAATCAAATGTATGTTTACTTTGTGCCAAATGGGTTTATTTTATAAGAATAAAACAGACTTCCATTTTGAAATAAAAACATTAGGAACTTTGTTGATAATGCATTTATATTCTATATGACCGAGATGCCAATTAAGATTGCAGATATTTACACAAAATTATCGTTTTCTCTCAAAATAAAAGACTTTTCCAAAATCTTTATGTTACTCATAATGAAAATAAACATATTCTAAAAAAAGAAATCTTGTGCAAATGTTAGAAGCACTTTTGATTTATGGAGTAGAAATATGAATACAAGTTCAATCTTTGGTTATACTGATAAGTTAACAACTAAGAGAAAAGGTTATTTACTCTCATTAAAAACTTTGATCTTGATATATTCTTATACTGATAATGATGTCAGGGAGAAAATAACAAGCAATGTTGTCTTAAATCTGATCTTGTATTGCTGATCAGTTTTTGTTTGCAGTTTCTTTCTATCTCCTTTAATTTTTGCCCAAAACACAAAAAAAGGGTAAAATAAAAAAATGTGTCCGAGTACACAAATAACCCCGCTTTAGCTTCAAGCAAACGAAAATGGGAAGGACGGACGATCAAGGGTAACACTTATTGCCCCTGTAAGTATAAAAAATTGTCATTTAAGTGCAATTACTCCTATAAAGGGTCTACTTTATATAATGATTCTATCAAAATTCAACTAATTTTTAGATTGTGTCTAGCTGATCATTTCGTATGAAAGTGTCCTTCTATCTTTTATAACTTTCAAGATAATAGGCAAAAAAACAAAAAATTGGCAAAAATTGTCATTTAAGAGCAAGAACTCCGATAAGGAGTCATCTGATCATTTCAGCCATGTTGACTTATTTGTAGATCTTAATTTGAGAAAAAAGTCCCCTATAAAGATACTCTATTAGGCCAAAATTAATCATAGTTCAAAATTTGGTAAAGACAGGGGGAGCTACTAGGGCTATTTGATTATAATGAATGTTGGAGGGTAAGAAGGAGAGTTTAATTTTGGACATGGGTTAGTGGTAGGTAATGACTGTAGGTCAATTTGATGAATGCAAAATGAATCATAGTATTTTGATCATGACACATTTCGGAATTCCCTTCTTACCCTCCCACTTCCATTTTAATAAAGGTCTGTATGAGGGGTCCTTCATTTCTGTATTCTTAAATTTTTTAGGCGATTTTTCTCTATTCTTTATACTTTTTGCCCATAATTCTCTATTCTTAATATTTTAGCACCTCATTATTCTCTATTCTTTATTGTTTTGGTCCATTTTTCTCTATTCTTTATATTTTTTGCCCATTATTCTCTATTCTATAAACCCCCCATCAACACCCTCTTTAATGGAATAGCCCTCTACTTTTTCCACAAAATTATATAACAATAAACTAAATACACTGATAATTAATCAAAAGCTTTCCATTCTCGTGTTATGAACATTTGTGAATATCATATTCTTGACATTACAATAGTGCTAATGTGGTAATATGTAACTCATTGTTTAAGTGTAAGCTGTGAATATTGTAATATCACGTGTTTTCTAATCAAATGTGAAATTCAAGTGTGTTAATCCCTAATCATACACAAAAAAGTTTTTTTTACGTAACCATGAGAATCATCAAATTTGGAAGAAGACAGTATGTTAAATTTGAGGTCTAAAACCTAGCAAAATATTTTTTTTTCAACATAAAAAAAATTCAGAATGCTATCAAAGTCTGAATGGACTGAAACAACTTTATATAAATGTTCTAACTTATTCAGTAAATTGAATAAAATAAAAGAAAGTTTACATTCATGTCCACAGATTTGGGATACTTTTAACAATAAGATTAAAAAGTAAATCCTGCAACTAAAAAATCTTGTGAGTCGAAAATAAAAAGGTGTCCAGGACACATAAATATAAATTAGTTGCCATGACCCCTATGGTTGTTAAACCAATACTTTCTTTGTAGGGGAATGATCTATGGCTGGTTTTAAGCCCTACACCAAAAATTTAACCTTTCACAAAAACTTTTCTCTTTTCATTTTTTTTAATTTCTCTTTCATTTTCAAAACCACATTTACATAATATTTGTGAAAAAGTCATTTCTTTCATGAAGAAATTAAAATCTTATAACCTTCTGAAAGCCTATTATATTTCTCATTTATATCTTTGTACATCTCAAAGTTTTTCCCTATTTATTTCAAATTAAAAAAAAAAACTAGTAACCTAATTTTAAAATTAGTAATTAAAGCAGATTTTTAAAGCGTGGAGAATAAGAAAATTGTGGCAGTCTTAAATAGGGTATAAAAACAAATATAGCTTGAATACTAATAAGTCTCCTCCCATCAATAAATGAATATCAAGCAGTTTTAAAGCATTTAAAGTATGTAATTAAGTTTTATTATACTGATAATAGTCCTCCCACCAAATAAACAAATCGTAAATTATTCATAACCATTTTCAATTACTTATTTCACTGTAATGTATATATAAGATTAACAGGGATTTAGAGAAATTTTATATGTTTAATCCTTCCCGGGAAAATATAAAATAAACACTTTGCCAGGTAACTATAGAAACAGAATTCTGACAAATAAAAACTGTGATTTCTCTAATCGATTTAAACAAAGTTAAAATTCCTTCAATGATGTTAAATAACTGCATATCATTTTACCTTTGGAAGCACCTGAATCTGAAACATTACAAATTCAATAACAGGTATAAAAACTATGACCCAATTATATATATATTCATTTTTGGTAATTCTAAACATGGAATTACTTTTCAAAGGGAGGTCACCTTTTTATAATTAATGTCAACAGCAATAAATATTTGACAAAATATGTAAAATCTATATATCTATCCAAATTAGATAGAAAATCTTGCAAAATTCCATATAATTATAATTAATGTCAACAGCAATAAATATTTGACAAAATATGTAAAATCTATTTATCTATCCAAATTAAATAGAAAATCTTGCAAAATTCCATATAATTAATGTCAACAGCAATAAATATTTGACAAAATATGTAAAATCTATTTATTTATCCAAATTAAATAAAAAAATCTTGCAAAATTCCAATCCATGTAGGACGTCATTAATTCTTGACCTTTACAATGTGAATAACAACGCCAATATCATAAGCTAACATCTCAACATAACTTAATCTCTTCAATGTAAAAAAAATTATCTCAATGAGTATATTGTCATTTCAAAAAGAATTATAACAATGTAGATTCATTGACGTCAATAAATCTGTGTCTTAAATGTTGATGTTGCAAGATTTTCTAATTTGCTTCTGAATATATAGGCGACACCAAAGGATTCCTAAGATCCAGTGATCATTCACATGGAAATAAATTATTCAAATGAACTAAAAATCTTAACATCTTGCTCTCCAATTGTCATGCAATAACTATGTTAGCACAAAGACTGCTTTGAATCTGCAATATAATTAAGATTTTTCAACCATTTTTACTATTTTCTGTTTAAGCAAACACATTTCATTTAAATGTTCTCAATTGTGACATTACTTTTTAATGAATTTCATCTCAACTCTTTCCAAGTTATTGTATTATTCAAACTGTTAAAATTTGCAACATGTCAATTTTCATTACAATGATTTGAGTTCCAAGAAATGTAACCAAACATAGCTGAAGCCACTCAAGCATGAAATATAGGTCATTATGACTCATATGTTTCTTAACAGCATTGTAATGTCTAGTGTAATGTACAAAAAAAGACCTGCATTGAAGATATCATCAATATATAATATGGGTTTCTGAAAACCAAACCCTAACCAAAGCTGTAAGTGTGAAATGTTCAGATTTAGTAACCAAAATGTTGCTGAAGAGCATTCTACTGTTCAACAAGTCATGATGTGGAGAATTATCACTGATGTTTTACCATAGGTTTCTGAGATGTTAACCTAAGCACAAAACAAACCAAAGTCACTTCAATGAAAAAGGTGACTTCAAAGAAAAAAGCAGATAAGATTATGAGAATAGGAACTTCTTGCAAAATAAATCACCAATTCAGAATTTACTGGACATAATGACAGAATAAGATAAATCTATATATGCGAGTAAACTCATGAAAAAGTCATGCATTGATCATTTGTACACTCCTCTGATGCTTCTATAATAGAGATAAAAATAAAACCATTTGAATACTTCAATTCTGATGAAATGAACATTTATTTTTTTCCCACCCTAAGGAAATGTTGAACAAAAGAACTCATTCTGAATGTAGAAAATATAACTGATGATTGTAGGAATGTCCAATTGATAAAATATAAAAGGTTATTACATATATCAAGTATAGAAATGACCAAATTATAAAATTATACACATTTATAATATATAACCTTTTTATATTTTATTGATTGGACATCCTTTTGTACATACATATCAAAAGTACAGTTTCTATTTACAATATTCCTAAATCTATATCCCTCTGCAGTTGATAAACAACAAACTAAAATGGGGTGTAGAAAAAATAAACAACACTAACAATAACAGATAGACTATTATGATAACTTACCTGCACTAACTGTTATGGCATCACTGAACTGTTCTCTCCATGAAGATGTACCAACAACCAATGAAACATTGGCTTTCTTTAGAAGCTTGTCAACTACATTCTGTAAATAATAATAACAGTCTTCATGGTAAACTTTTGAATCTACAGGCCCGAAGCTGAGTTTAACGAAAATTTTAGTTAGATAATATTCTATTGGCCTGTAGAGATGATTTTTACAGGCCCTGCAGCATTTTTACAAGCCTGGGCTGGTGGGCTTCTGGTTGAGTGCGAAGACAGTAATAATTCAAATGTCACTTTTTAATCTTATTATAATTAAGAACCCATCATTTAAAACAAAGGTGGAATCATCATCAATTAGAATTTGAGTAAAATGTAAATTGTGGTGCAAAAAATGTGTATTAATATTTGCATGTGGTAAAGATTGAGTAGCTTACCCCAAGATGGTAGACTACAAATTCTGTAGGTGTGACATGAACTTAGTAAAATACCCAGTATTGAAATGATCCCTGCATATTGTACAAACTTCAACAAGGCAAATCTTCTGAATTCCAATTCAAAAGAAAGATAATTTTAAATATTGTAAACCTGTTTACCTTCATAGGTTGTTAATTTAGCAAAAAAAAAAAAACAGACTGGACAGTCAAATTTCAGTGTTGTATAGCAGACAGAAGTGAAAAAACAGATGCTGACAGTCAAGTTTCAGTGTTGTATAGCAGACGGAAGAAAAAACAGATGCGGACAGTTGAATTTCAGTGATGTATAGCTGACAGAAGACAGAATAGATGGTGACAGTCACATTTCAGTGTTGCATAGCAGACAGATGGAAAAAAAAAATGGGGGGACAGTCATATTTCAGTGTTGTATAGCAGATAGAAAAAAGAATACAGATGGGACAGTCATATTTCAGTGTTGCATAGCAGACAGATGATTGGAACCCACCTTTTCAAAATTGTTGGATTCCCGCCTGACAAATCTGTGTACTACTTCAACTCTATTCATGTCATTAAGCCTCACAAAACACTCTATATTACGTTCCATATGTAGAGTTTATAAAAGTTTTATTATAAATATTCATATCTATAACTTTCTATTACAATTACATGGATTACATAAAGCCTTCTTACTTTTCATAAGTTTCATTGTAATGTAACTGATTTTGTCACATGTACAAATGTATAACATTAAACCAAAGTAATGAAAAATGACCTTTATATAATAGAACAAATTTCATTATGATTTGTTCACTAAAAGCTAGCTTACAGTACATTCATTTGCAAATTTTATGCACTTTTTTTCTGCAAATTTGATATAGACATAAATCTGACGACAGAAATAGCAAACTGCAGGAACTGAACAATAGAAATCAAAAAAAATTATCATAAACTCAATATTATTAATTAGATTCAAATCTTACACAAGGCAATAAAATAAGTAATTTATGTAACAAAACAGATGTGACCATTTTATTAAAATATCATTGAGAAAATGTGCTGATAGCAGGTAGAAACATTTCTCATATAGTTTGTGTCAAGTAAGAATGATGAAAATGATTTCTTTCATGGTTACTCACTGAACAATCAATTAATATAGCATGAATTAAGTTATATAATCAATGGCATTGATTTTATTCAGAAATTATGATTAGGACAAGCTGTCACTGTGGACAGAGTACAAATATCATTTTATTATTTGATAAAGTAACTTCAAATATTTAAATACCAATTATAATACACGGGTATGTGATAACTGGTATTCTACATTTACTTATTAAAGCTAACACCCAATTTCGTGACGTAAAAGTAAAAGTACATTATAATATATAAAAAGAAGCATTTGTAAAAAAATCAATTTGTTTTTTACAAGATCAAACAGTTCAATCAATCTATTAATTCTGAAGAGCTTTCTATTAATACCTGGAGTTGCAAAGGTAAATCTGACATAAAATATTGTAACGGTACATGAACATTTCAAAAGGCAATTAATTGCATCCTTAGAACTTCTCTGTCATGAACAAGATTTAAAAAAACTCTGTACATATATCTATACAATTAAGGCTCCAAGACTTCAGAATGACTCACTAAAGTGTTTTTCCTCATGAAAAGGCAAGGGAAAATTGCAAGGAAATGAAATCAGAGGTGAGAATGACTAACCTCTCAGCCAGCAGATTATCAAGGACTGACGTTTTTTTCTTCCAATAAACCATTATGATTTCAAATTAAAAGCAAAATATAGGTGAAAATAATTGAACAAAATGAGCAGAGCCTTGTCAAACTGACAATTATACACACAGTCAATGTAAGACTGCATCTACTTAATATAGAATGGAAGGAGATAATCAAGAAATCAGACACATTAGGTTCTACAAAATTAGTGCAAGAGAATTTATAAGCTCCATTTCTAGTAATAAAAAAAAATAATTTTCACATTTTGGGGGCATTAAAATTACAGTGAAGGCTAGTAAATTCAAGAAGAAAAACAATAAAGAAAGTATCTTTAGTCCCCCTGAATCATAAACTTCTAAAGAGGCTAAAAATTTCAGTCAAGACTTTCCACCCATTAAAAAAAAAAAACCAGCAAAAATAACATAATATCCAGTTAAAGGAATCATAGAGGTTTAATTTTTGTTTTCGATATAACATAATATAAAGAAAATTCCGAAAGTACGGTTCAAAAGATCACATTTCTATATAACTCGTGTTCAAGCAGCCATATTAAACTGCTACAATTATCATTAATTATCTACACTATATCTGAATAGTGAAAAATCGTTTATAATTGTGATCAATTTTTGGTATATAGGTCATTACAAATATTTCATTTATCATAATGCCTCATTTTCCTATTGATTTCTATCCACTATATCAAATGTTAATTGCTTTTATTTTATCAATATAACATGTTTCTCAAAGAAACCTAACAAAAACTCAATTCTTGATCATCTAACGTAATTGCTCAAGGTTTGAAAGCTTCTATTTAACAGGTTTAATTTCACACAAGCAATAATGATGGATCCACAACGTTAAAACTTGTTGTTATTCTATCCGAAGTCTAATTTCCAATAAAGTTTTTGTGTCGAGTAATCCATAACGTTACGAGATTTCTTTTGTTATTCTTTCTCATTACATTTACCAAAAATGCGGGAATATTGCTAGTTAGAAAGGCCTATCTTTCAAATGAATCAGTACATAATTCATTAAGACTGAAAGATTTTTTCTATTAAAAGATTGTGAACTAAAGACCCTTATCTGTATTCAGAAACATGATACAAGAGAACAGTGCTGTCAATAAAGATTGTTTACCATAGTGGACATTGGCTGTCATTTTCGGTTAGTTTCTGTATCAATCAGTTAATGTCATTATCGAGGATTTCCTTCAAAGTTTGGTTCCACTGGCCAACTTCTTGCGGTGTGAGGGATTTCCATACCAATGAAACTTTATCTAACACAAATATTTAGCTTTCTAGATGGAAGAGCATAAAAACTAATTCTTTAATAAAAATTATTCTGTGAAGCCAACTGTTAATTTAATCTTTTCCATGGATTCTTGCATTTCATGTTCAAGTCAATGAAATGCACAAACATTAAACAAACAAAAACTACTGGATGTGGGTTTTTCTACTCCAAAATAGTTTACTTTTCTTCAAGCAAAGACATATTTTGAGATATTTAGTAGATGTTTATGGAGCTTGTGTATTTCTTTACACATATATACAATGAATTGTGATTACAGCATTTTGAATTTAAGAATAGTTTGCATACATTACTAAATCTTGACAAGTCAGCCCCTTTGTCATAAAGCAACCAGTCCAACAGAGAGAAAGACATGAAGTTAGTGTGCTACATGGTAGGGAGTGTTTTACATAAAAAGTTACTAATGAAATAAAGAATTAAATGGCTATTCGTGTCTGAAGGCCTCTCCTGAAGAAGACTTTATGCCACAACTGCATTATAAACCAGTTGTAATCTGTTTTGCAAAGAAAAATAGAAATCTGCAGCTTTTTAAAAATTTGAGTAAGAGTAATGCCTTGTGTAAGTAAAAACATCTAAAACGGACAAGGATCAACAAAATAGAAGCAACTGAATAGACTGTGGAAGAGCTTCATGCAATAAATGTGTTATTGTACAAATATTACTTCACTATATTTCGATAAGGTTACACTTAAAATTGATGAGGTAACCCTTAAAAAATATTTTGGCTTAGACTCTCACTTTACTGAAACTAATTACTTTAAACTGGGTATGGAAGTAGGTATGGATTTATTTTTTCATTCTATAAATATTAGAAAAAGAAAAATTGTCCATTCTATAAAGTATGGGGAAAAAAAGAGAAAGTTTCATTCTGCAAGAACTAAAAAATGAAAAACTATCATGCAAAATGAAGAAATCGGTTTTGAATAATAGTATTTACATGTGTTGTCCTGCTAAACATAAACCCATTCAAAGCATCAGAAAAAAGGAGGTAACCTAAAAAGCACTCACAAGTTACGACTAATCACTGTCAAGGTGCTGACCCAATATTTTCAAAGTCTTATGTTAAGTAGTTCCTGAGAAAAGTGCAATATGTTGACAATTGAACAAGGTGATTACATCTAGAGGGGTGGTATAAAAAATCATGAGATTGACATTTTAGCAAGAATTATGTTTTGTAAGCAGGAAATCCACTGGAGGTTGTTTTTTTTTTGTTTTTTTTGTGTGTGTGTGTGTGGGGGGGGGGGGGGGGGGGACAGGTCAAAGAGAGAGATCATGTGGCAAAAAATTGATATGCATATCAAACCTTAAATTCATAGCTTTCTATAATGTGTATATTAATCTTTGTTGTATCTCCAAGTCTAGGCTTTCCCATCTCTAACAGTTCTTCATTTTCCTCATTTGGAAGAGGTTCTGTGTTTCCTATTGAAAAGATAATATTGATATAATTTCTTATTGCATTTTCCCTAATAATTGAGCTTTTCCTTACATCAGACAATTACATAACCAGACAGAAATAAAATCCCATCATTGAGTTACAGCCAAAATCCTATTTATTATATCACAGTTGCAATCTGTTTCAACTTAAACAAAAACATAAATAAAGAGAAGGTATCCAAATTTTGTCTTCAAAATGAGTGTAAAGAGGACAAAATTGTAAAAAATTGAACCTGCTTTTACTGCATATTTGAAATCAACTTGTACAGGATATTTAATAGATCCAAACTATTCAGAAATTTCAAAATTGATAAATTTTCCAGTAATTGATAGAGATGGCTTCACTCACAATTTTACAATTTTCAAAATGTCACTAGTAGTACTGTGGTCTTGTATTTCACAAATACTTCAAAAATATTTTGTTAATATTGGAGTGTCAAAACCAATTGCCTTGCTGAAACTCTAAGCAAAAATTATCACCAATATTTAATAAATTACATAGAACTTTGACAACAAAGACAAAACCATTTATTTCATGCTCAATAATAAGAGATTACATCAGGAATAATATATTTATCTCGTTAGCACACATTAACGAAGTTATATCCAGAACAGTGATTGATTTTCACTGCTCAGATCAAAATAGGATTTCCACAAATTATACATCATAACAGCAACCAAAGGGGTCACAACATGTGATCACATGCAAAGGATTCCCATGCTTCCGATGGATGAACATGAAAATGGGCAACGATTACAACATCTGATGAAGAAAATATACAATTTAAGGTCTGGTAGGATCTGAGATAACAGTGTGAAAGGTTTTACATAGGAGTAACAGACATTGTAACATTACACTTTACAACAACAATATGAAATAAAAAATACATATAACAAATCTGGAAAACATAAGGACAAACTGGACGGACATAATATTGGAAAACAAACACAATACTCCTGGAAATTTGACAGGGTGGAATGACACTGAGGATAATTCATGAGTTGATGACTGTAAATATTGTAAATAAAAGGCAAAAAAGTATCTACAATAAAACCCAAAAAATGTAACAAGACCCCATCGCTATTTGTATGATAAATATGGTAAAGTCTATGTTGTGTAATAGTAAATCCACAAAATTCAACTGGAATAAAAAAAAAATAAGAGGTGCAAGATCAATCAGGTATTGAAGATTCTCTGAAAGTAAGATTAAAATCTAGCAGCCACTTATTTAAGAGGAGTTGTGGATACAAACTGCAGACAAGACAAATAAATGAAAGAAAGAATGAACAAACCAACCAACAAACAGATTATTTCCCATTTCAGTAAGTGGGGTATAATAACCCTGTAAAACTGATAGAAAACAATACCTTTTAAATGAATCCATAAACAGGCTTTGACTTGCATACCAAGTTTAACTCTGATAAAAGCTGCAAAACTGATTGCAGCATCAGAAAGCCATAGATAGCAAACAGTTAGGGACTTGAATGTGTTCATTATGAATGTGATGTTTCATGCTTCATAACAGGGATGAGCCAGTCATTTGCAAAACAGCAACTCTGCACCCAAATTTTATTTTGTTCCTGATGAAGTTTTCAATTTTTTAAATAAATTAAATGAAAAACATGTTCTGACATTATAAACATTCTTACATGAATTTATTAATTTCACAGTTATAAATGGTATATAATTCAAAAAGATTTTATCAAAATCACAGGATGAGCAAATATTATTTATAAACAACACTGAAATATCAACCTCAATTTAAATTCAAGGTCAAATATATATACTTACACCCACTATTTTAGTCTCAATCAGATTGAATATGATACCTATGCTTTAAATATCTTTTTGTATCTACATTTATGACACGGATGACAGTGTTTATTTTGGTATATATGTATAATATTTGAAGGCTAAATTATTATTTTCCTCAATGCATTGATCCCAGACAACAAAGCTATATTTAAGTATAAATGAAAACCCTTTAACAATCAAAGAAGATCATCCTGTGCATAGTATTACAAAAATTATTTTGTTCTTTTAAATATCAAACCGGATACAACCTTCTTATACAAAATTATATCATTGTTTTCTTCAAATAGAAGTGATTTAAATGTTTTTCCTAGAAACTTAACAGTTAATTCCAAAAAGGCATTTCTTCATAAATTTGTACATTTGACACTCAATTTTACTACCCTTATTTGATTATTCTTAAAGCCAATAAATTCTTTTACAATAAATATAAAAGAATGAGAATTTTGTAGAAAGATGGTAGAATTATTGATTCATATAAAACCCTTGGAGGTCATATCAATTTATTCCGTAATTAGAATAAGCATAATAAGCTAACAAGTTTCGTAAGTAAATATTCACATAATCAGTAATAATACCAGTAGGTATGTTAACCAATTACCTTTTCTTTTCCTTTTTTCTGTGGAATTTAAAGACAAGTGGGTTATACATAAAACATAAAAAAATAAAAGAACCCTTAGGAGCAAGATCAAATTAGCCATCACATCTCTCTTTTACCAGACAGTGGATATCTTAAGTCCCCATCTAAAAAATGGGCTTCTCAACTGCAGAATGTCTGGTGATCACAGTCAATAATTTAAGTATGATAATGAAATCCTGTGGTTTTCAGGCAACAAGAAAAAGATGACAGACTTTCAGATTAAAAACAATATATAAATATCATCAATACCCCAAAAACATTGTACCTCAAAGCTCATTGACTTTGTAGGGTCTATAAATGTAAAAAAAAAAAAAAAAAAATCTGATTTACATAACATTCATGACCCATGGATACATCCTACCTCAAAGACTAGGGTATAAAGATGTTAAAATAAGCAACAAATTAGTTCTGGAGAAAAATAATGTAACAAATTTGTTCTGATTTATATAACATTTAATATGATTTATACCCCTAGAATACATCGTACCCCATAGACTCAGGTATAAAAATGATAAACAATAAATTAGTTTGGGAGAAAATAATGTAACCATCATGCAAAATCTTCACTCCAGACCAATGGCAATGTTCCTAAAGCTAAACTGAACTTTTTATGAATTTTTAAATATCAACAATAAACACCATATCACTACATCTATAAGCAAATGTAAAAATTGTCAATTTACTTTCAATATACTTATCTTCTTCACCCTCCTCCGTCTCCGAGTCTAGAAAAATTACCATGCAAGTTTATAGTTTCTCACAACACTACATTTATAATCACACCTGAATTGCAATTTTTAGGGGAATTTGCATAAAAATAGTTAGTTCTGTTAGATTTGTTGTTTTCAAAGAATATGTAAGGTCTTTTTTCTTTGTCCCTGATTTGTTAAATTATAAATATGGTCTACACCTAATAAAAAATTCAAGACTTTACTATTTCAGACAAAAAATTCAGTTTCATATGTATTTATTATGTTAGTACCAATACCAAATCAGTAATTTTTATAATAAAACTTTAAGAAAGCATCCAGACACTATGTAAAAGACTGAAAGCTTAGCACAGAAGTCATTTAATAATGACTCACAAAAGCCACTTAAATGTTATATATTGCACAGTCTATATTTTTGCTTCCTATATGATATCATATACACACCGACATTTTGCTCACTTATTTTTTAAGACGTTAATCTCTCAATTTTTTTTTTCAAATTCAGAAGTTTAAAAGACCCAAATGCTTCAAATTTACAGTTCAGTGAAATTTTCATAAATAAACATCAAAGAGATTAAATTAGTTGGAAACTATTGCAACATAGCTTAAGTTCAAGATGTCAAGATCTTTTTTTTTCTAATCAGGTTTCTTTTAAGCTTATTGCTTCAATAACATGTTAGTTACATAAGAAAAGCTGATTCACATCTGCTTATTTTTAACCGATTTATTATAAACAGACGCCAGATGTTCCAAATACATGTACACCAGTAGTAATTGAAAGTATTTATAATTATAATAACTCATTATTTCTCATTTGCTGATTCATTAATGTGTATTAACTGATCTGTAAAATCTTCTTATGTTTTTTTTGTTTTTTTTTATTCTTTTCCGTTACAGCAGTTTTGTCTAACTTGGTTCACTAAAAATGTATTATATATGCTGTTTTTTCATTCTTTTCCGTTACAACAGTTTTAATTAACTCGGTTCATTCATTATGTATCATATGCTGTTTTTTCATTTTTTCCCGTTACAGCAAATTTAACTAAATGGGTTCATTCAAAATGGTTTATCATTGATAACTTTTGCAGAGAAAGTTTCTACTATTTGAATATCAATTCTTACAGTGTTGTTTCATCGACAAGATTAAAAAAGACAAATTAATTCGACATTTAATATCAAGCAGAAGCAATTTTAAACCATACGCTTATGTCTAAAAGAAATTAACGGTTTGAAAGTCATTCAACCTTAAAATTCATATAATTAGTTTAACATTTTGCAATTCCTGAAACCAAATTTCACAGTTCCAATCAACTTAACATTTCATTCATAGAACAACATTTACATATTTGTTTTTCATTTCACAAAAACACATTTACATTATTCTGACATAAAGTGTTAGGAGTGGAAAAGGTTGTATTAATTTCCAATTCCATATAAGCAGAATTGTAGACATCAGCAATATATAATTACATCCTTTGGGAAATATAAAAATTCAACACTAAAACAAGGAATTCTAGGTATAAATCTTATGACTTAAAACATATAATATAATTGTACCTGATCCTTTTCTCAAAAGACATGGTTCATCAAGTACTAAATAGAACTCTTCATTCTTTTCATATTCTTCATCATCAAAAATTCTGATGTGAATCATTTTCCTGAAAAAATAAAAATATATCTACATAAAACACTGCAGTTCAGCAAAGATGTAAAAAAAATAAGTATGACACGTCACACATGGTTTTTGGTTGCTCAGTTTTTAGTTTTCTATGTTGTGTTTTGTATACTATTGTTTGTCTTTTGATTGTTTTTTTGTCATATAGTACACGTTTGGACTTAGTAATAATGTAAGATAAATTTTTGTTGAAGGAATTGTGAAGGATGTGTTGGTTCAGTCAGTCTTTAAACTTTTAAATATATATTTTATTAGATATTACATTTTTTTGCCTCTAGGACTCATGGAAGCTTAAGGAATTTAAGTAACTTATATCAGTTAAATTCACTATCTCAAACATAATCTTGCATGATTACAGATCCTCACCATAAGAACTGTTTCTAATTGTCCTTTGTGAAATTATTTCTTGCGACCAAATTCACACAAGTGTTAACCAATTGTTTTGCAAGTGATAAGGCCTTGCGGCCATAAAAATTTTGAGCATTATCATCATACTCAGACTCAGAAATCAACCAACCAAAATACTGGATTTGGTGTTTCAAGCACAAATTGTGTACTCAAGAGTACTGAGTACAGTTTTATGACCAATCAGCCCTGATCTAATTTTACGAAAAACTTTTTTAATAATTCATAAAAACCAAAGTTGCTCAGGTGGAACTAAGATAAATCTGTGATATAGTCATCTTCAGCAAGCTGTTTCCCCTGAGCCATATTAATTTCAATACCTTACTTATGTTTAAAATATATAATTGAATAGACCAGTTGGAATAAAATAAGTTCACACTTCTATGATAACTTTAACTTTAATGTCTTTGTTGAAATACATGTAAAGTAATTGTTACCTTTGTTTAATAAAAAAAAGATTACAATATAAACACTTCCTTATTGTTTCTTGTTTCAGTTTATTTCATAAATTTCTCCTAAAAAATTTAATGCAAAACCAGTCTCCCAGAATAGTAATAGGGAAATGAAACATGTCAAACAAATGCGTTTCTCGATTGTAAAAGGAATTAGTCTGAGAATTGATTCTGAGTGAGAAAATTCTCTTTTGCTACTGAAATTTAAATGCCAGAGATTCTTTATGTAGATCATGATTTTGTACTAAAGTCAATCTGTATTTCATTTCTGTTACAAAAACAGACTTTAATATGGTGTTTATTTATCAGCATTAAAACAATTTTATAATTCATTTTTTCTTCATGAAACCCAGGCAATTTTTTAACTTCCAGATAGCTTTTGGAAAAATCAACAATTTATTTAATTTTTTTGAATTGGTCCTCTTTATCTTGTCATCTTACTTCTTTTCTTCCATAAAATTGATACAAGTTATTTCATCTGTCTGCGACACAAATACAAAGGCAGTGTCTGTCAATATTCAGGGATTACAATACAAAAGTACAAGCCAATCTGATTTGAATCAGATCTTTCCTTCTTCACAGTAAATATGTTGGTTGTCTCTCCATAGACTACTCATCAGTTTCTTATCTTAAAAAATTTCAGACATAATACAACAGAAAATCTATTTAACTCAGGACATTTCTATAAAGCAGAAATTTGAAATAGATCCAAACACTTGTCCAAAATGTTACCAGTATCAAATTAATAGCCACACAGTCAATCTGTACATCAACTACATGCATAATAATTGACAAATTAAGATAAAACCTCATTACTGTCAGAACAAAAACATATGCCTGCAGAAACTAAAACACTGTAGGAATCTATGTTTTAACTGCCAGTACGAAGGTCACATGATAAAAGACTACTAATATCCCTGGCAATGAACACATTGTGTGCACATTCCACAGCCGAATCAATGCCTTGATGTATTTAAGGGTAATTTTTGACTTGTCTTCAGACTTGGAAAGAAACCCAAGCAGACAAAAGCCTGATAACCATTAACAAGGGTGTACAGGGAAGATTTCTAATCTGATTACCAACTATCCAAATATTATACATTGCAGTTTAAGTTATTAATTATAAAGTGTAATAATTTATCAAATAGTTTTTAACAAAATATGGATACAGATTAAGTTTCATTCATTTATTCACAGTTATATATCAAAAATGTTTTAATATTATATAATAGTTTCTTCAATACAAAGTTTCATAACAAAACTTTAATATATACATAAGCACAAATGGTAGAAATCTTCTTTTTTCATTAATCACATTATGCATTTTTAGAATATTATCAATATTTCATTACAAAAACAAGTGACATAATAGTGTCTGGTTTTCTTTACAGTCATGCTGCACTTTTTTTTTTTGTTACATAATGACACTGTTTCTGTCTGACCTTTTTGTTTGAAATATTTCATGACCAAAGAAAAGATGAAAATGATCATTCATTATTACTTCTTTGGCAATCTGACTACATCAGCTTTCTCATTTATCCTCAGTCACCGACCTGACCTCAGATAGATATTTCAAATGGAGTCATCATTAAGGAAAACAGTCTTTGTAGTGTATATGTTTACAATGATCGTTGGAATAATCACAGTGTCAGCTGTGAAATCAATCAAGTCAGCCACCCAAGGGTATTACATGTATTATATATCAAGAGCAAGGACGGACAAAAGTAAATCTGATCTAGAACTATACAAACGAGAATGGCTTACACATGTTTAATACATGTAGCTGGATATAGGTATAACTTATATCTGATGGAGGGTTCTAAAAGGATGCAGAATAAGATATATGATTTCATACCATGTTAAAACTTTCTCAAAGAACCCAATTTAAAGACTGTATTTTTCTTAATCTAAACCACCTATGCCATTTTCATTTGGAAAACATCCAAGTGAACTAGTAATACAAATAAACTTAATACATGTACACAAGAAGTCAACTTTTAATACTTTTAATACTTATAATGTATACCTAAGACTTTGTCCTTATACAAAAAAGGATTTTGGGTAAATAGGTCTCGAAAAAGAGAAATGAAAAAAAATTAAAAGTATAACAGATAGAAAAAAAAACAGGTGTAAGACAGTTAATATGATTAACATATAATTCAAATACTTTGGGCACCTATATTGAACTGATATATCATGTTAAGGAGGGGTATTTGCGAAAAATACCAGTCGAGAGAATGTTAAATTTCGCGAGCCGTAAGGCGAGGGAAATTCATTCTCAAGACTGGTATTTTTCGCAAATACCCCTCAAGAACATGCTATATCTGTTTAATTACACCCAATGTTAACGTTCAAAAACGCATTGATGATCGTGACGTTACAAGCGTCCAGTCGGATAGAGAATTTTTTGGCAAATACCACGGCAGACAGGGTAAAAAAGGCATATCCTTTTTGCATATACCCCGGCGGCGTTAAAAATTGAACGATATTCATTTGATAACAGTAAATTGGTGAAAAATACACTGGCTATCAACCAATCAAAACCCAGGATTCTTACATAAGGTGTAATTAACCGGTAAATGATTTCTTTTTTTAGAAAAATTTGTTCTCCCTGGAAAAAGCATAATTTGAAAGATGTCTTTTAAAATAGTGGGCTCCAGAAAAAGGAAGTATGCCTCGTTTGTATTTGCATTATTTAAATTCAAGGCCGTAAAAAAGTCTTTTCTCTCAATTATATTTTGAGGATACTTGTGGCTGAAACAATTTCTTCATATCAAAAGCCTTTAGTAAATTTGATTTTTTTTTTTACCATTTAATTCCGTGGTTTACATAATTACCCAAGAAATCCATCAAAATTAAAGTTCCCTCTAATAATAAAGAATCCAGTTCACAGGGAACAATATAAGGAAAAACTGTCAAAAAAAATGAATGGCAAAGACCATTAACTTTGCCCAAGAGAATTGGCACCAAAATTATGCAAAAACTAAAAAAATCATTGATTTATGAAATTTAAAATAACACATGCCATCTTCATAAAACACCAGAAGTGAAAAAAAAATGTTACTGCACTATTGTTAGGCAAGCGGAAATAACTGTTTACACCATATGCCCTGCAAAATCAAAGTCGTGTCTTAAAAATCACGATGCTTACATTAAATCTTAAAAGAATTAACCTTAGAACATTATAAAATCCTCAATAAATTCCTTTATTCTCGATTGAAGTGTATTATTCTGCATGCATGTTTGGTTCCAGAGATATCATAATAACACATTAAAATGCTAATTTGTCTGTCGTAAAGTACAAAGAACATTTGGTAAGTGCAATTGACCTTTTTAAAAAAAATCTTTTATAGAATTTTCTACTAGACTAGAATGCAACCTAATTAAGGAAAATTCTAAAAGAACACCATTATTCATTCCATTTGACAGGCACCAAATCAACACATGTATAAATAACATAAAGTCAAAATATAGGTCTAATTTACCAACTTTTCCTCTGAAGAAAATCAAACCTATTAAATTTATACATTACAAGTTTATTTAATAATTTTTCAACTTCATTTTAAATTGTTGAAAATCTAGCAGCTAGCAAAAATCAATAGTTCTTGACATGGAATTATAGTCATTAAATACAAGAGTCAAAGTATTTAACCCTTCAGCAAAATTAAATTGCACAATAAATGTAAAATGTGAAAATTGTTATTGGGGATGTGAAAACTTATTTGCAAAATTTTGTTTCACAATTGTGAACAAAACATTAGCATTCAACTGTTCCACTTGTTTCCAAGTAACATGTGGATCAGGCCTAAATGAAAATTTACTTTTTTCCTATACAGGGATTTAAATGCCAATTTATGTTTATATATAGACATGGCAAACAAGCTGTACCAAATTTCAGGAAGTTCTTATTCATAGTTCCTGCAAAAATTGCAACTAAATTCTATACACTTGTATTTGCACCTTCCACAATCGACTGTTTTATGAAAGTTTGTCTATAATTTAAAGGTTTACAAATATCTCGAAGCTCCATACTATTTTTCAAGTAGAAACATGTATCTAAGATGCAACAATTCCTAAATAATGCACCTTTATTAAACTTTCAACGCCCATAGAAACAGATGTAAAC